GAAGCGGTTAATCGCGATCAAATCAGAGGCATCATTCGCAATGCTGGAGACATGACCTCTGAGGAACTAATGAACTCATTACATTGCCGCAAGTGCAAAATCCTGCAGGCACGCCCACTTGGTGACAAAGGCACTGCCATGGTCACATTTGAAGGTAACAGCTTACCCTATAAGGTTGGCCTGCGGTCATTTACGATCCGTGTTTTTCCGTATCGTGCACGAGTGACCGTTTGTGACATATGCCACAAGATAGGGCATCGCAAGGAGCAATGCCCCAATATTTCGGCAGCTAGATGCTCGACATGCGGTCTGCGGCAACACGAAGAGGGTACGCAATGCCCGAACACAGAACAAAAGTGCCGCAGCTGTGGTGGGTCTCACCTGGCCACAGCCACGAACTGTCCAAAAAGACGAGAAGTAAAGAAGAAAATTGAACAAAAACGCAAGCCGGCTGCCAAAAGGCAACGCAAGCGAGTGAATACGCAGGAGCAACAGCGCCGCCCTTCCGCGACACAAGGCCTACAAAGACCCATGCTCAAACCAACACGCCAGGGTTTTTACACCGGGCCGCCAGCACCACCTGCTGCACAGTCAGAAGGCGCCGGGGGCACCACCTTCGCGGATGTAGTTCGACCAGCGAACGTGCCGCTAACTGCTTCTAGTAATGGTATACCACATCCATCAAACTCAACACTGGGGTCCTGCGCGCCGCAGCCCGCCTCGGGTGGAGGGACGAAGCATCCTCGAAGGGGCGTAGCTCAGTCAACGGGGCTTCCGCTTACCAGTGACCATTCACGTCCTCCCGCCCCAACGACTTTCCAAGAACTCGAGCGGCGACTAGAACACCGTATGGCTCAAATAGAGAAATCCATTCATGAAAGAGTTGAACAGCTTATCACTCGGGCCATTGAAAAATGCGTCCAGACCACCATGGAGCGCATCATGCTTTCCGGCATGCTCCCTCTTGGCACAACTTCGACGACAACCGCAGGAGCACTTGTGATGCGTACACCTCTGGTACCGTCAAACTCTATCGCTCCTCATGCAACAAAGCCTTACCATGGCTAGCTTATCAAAATCATCGCCATGGACAACTGTCCTGCAGTGGAATTGCCGTTCGCTTCGTCGCAAGAGGGCTGAAATGACCACTTGGCTCTCCAGCAAGACAGACGATACCAGTCCATTGGTCATTGCCCTTCAAGAAGTCAACGGCCCTGTGCTGAAAATAATGGGCTATGATGGCTACGCCCCGACTGAAGAACAAGATTCATCCACGAAGACAGCATTATACGTGCGACGAGGAACTACGCACGTGCAGCTAGATACGCAACCGTGGTGCAGCACTACTCTTAGTGTTGTCGGTTGCCGGCTGGAAGTCTCACCTCAGCGTACAATTCTTGTCTTCTGCGTTTACGTGGTTCCTGAAAGCACCAGGAACAAAGCCAATAAGGCGCCGGTTGATCTCAGCTTCATACCGCACTTCAGGAAGATTTATCCACAAGATGTCATATTGTTGTGCGGAGACTTCAACTCTCAGCATGTCGCCTGGGGATACAACAAATGCAGCCCGCGTGGCAGGCGCATCATGCAGGATGCCTCGGCGTACGGGCTGACGCTTCTCAATACGCCCCAAACACACACGAGGCTGGGACAGACAGTTCACCAAGCAGACACATCCCCAGACCTTACCTGGAGCACCCGCCCACAGCTATTTCAGTGGGAGGTGCTGGATGATTGCATGGGAAGCGACCACTTCCCCATACTTATACGATTTCGCACAGGTGACGCCATTACGAAGACGAAGTCACGCGCCAGCACACGGCTAAGCCACATCACACACTGGGACAAATATCGCGATTTACTACAGCAACAGCCTCCAGCCAAGAATATTGACCATCTGCTTTCTCAGCTATGCGCAGCGAAACGGCAAGCCACCAAGAACCTACGGGTTCCTTTTGACCACCCAGAACCTGATAGGCATCTTCTCACTCTGTGGAATAGAAGGCTACGTATTCTGGCCCAGTACAGGCGGTCTCGCCACGCTGCGCATCACAAAGCACGGTTGCGCAAAATACAGCGTTCTATTGAGACATATACGACCACGTTAGCGTCAGACCGCTGGATGGCAATTTGTGAAACCATGAATGGGCAGACCCACACGTCAAAGGTCTGGACCATCCTGCGCTCTCTCCTCGGCCAACGCAAGACCTACAATGGCGCGGCTCGTGTGGCCCTCCGGGAGGGCATCAGCACACAGGAGCTCGCCGAACAAGCTGCTGAAGTGTTTTTCCCGCAGACATCTCGCCCCACAGCCAATACGTACCGGAAGGATGCAAGCTCTGAAGACACTGAGCCATTTAATAGCCCTTTCACCATGCTCGAGCTGGAGTATGCCTTGCAACATGCTAACACACGTAGTGCTCCAGGAGCCGATGGAGTATGCGTTGCTCATTTACGCAATATGCCTCTTGAGTACAAACACGCTCTCCTCAAAGAGTTTAATACAGTCTGGGATACCGGAATACTGCCCTCCACATGGAAGTTTTCGGTAGTCAAGCCCATACCGAAGCCTGGTAAACCACCCCATACCTTATCCAACCTCCGCCCGATCTCTTTAACCTCGTGTGTCTGCAAAGTCATGGAGAGCATGGTTAACACACGCTTGATGTGGTACCTTGAAGATCGCGACCTTTTGGCCCCTACAATGTACGGATTCCGCGCGGGCCTATCAACTCAAGATGTACTCCTTCGCCTAAAAGAAGACGTCCTCGACTCTAACTCGGTGCACCCACGGGCTGTTGTAGCAGTGGACATACGCAAAGCATTCGATGGCGTACCACACAGTACCATCATGACGAAAGCACGTGCCCTTGGGATTAAAGGGAAAATGTATAACTTCATAGCGGGCTTCCTCGAAGGGCGAAGCTACCAAGTCGAAATCGGCCAAGACGCCAGTACCGTACGAACCAACCACGTAGGTGTTCCCCAGGGCTCGGTGATTTCACCCACCCTCTTTAACATAGCCATGTACCAGCTACCAAGACGCCTTGCGAACGTACCGGGCCTGAAACACGCGGTGTATGCAGATGATGTAACCGTGTGGACGCATCAAGGATCCGTCGGTGAGCAGGAGGATGTCTTACAACGAGCCCTCAACATTATTCACGACTACGCAATGGAAGCAGGTTTACACACCGCTCCAGACAAAACAGAGTTTGTCGTCATTCATGGTGGCCGAACCACGTTTGCCAAGCAGGAAGAAAAGAAGTGTTATAAACTTCACATTGGCAATCAACCTATAATGAGGAAATCCACTATCCGAATATTAGGAATGCACTTAGACGAGAATTGCACAGCGAGCACTTGGTTCCAACGCGTTACGAAGACTAGCAAACAAATCCTTCATGCTTTACGCAGAATCTCTAATCGCACTCGTGGAGTAAACGAACGCGAAATGCGGCAGTTTGTTCAAGCTTTTCTCGTCTCACGTATCATGTATGGACTGCCGTATCATCCGGTCAACCGTACGCAGATAATCAAACTCGACCGGCTGCTTAACGAGGCCAAACGCATGGTTACCGGACTACCAAGGTACACACGCCTGGATGCGCTCAAGAGCTGCAGCAAGCTCAATAATCTGACCGAGCTCATCGACATGCACATCCACACACAGGAAACGAGGCTTCGCGCAACAAATGCCGGGCGATACACGCTTATGCTTCTCGGGTATGACATCAACACACTGCCCATGCTGCCTAACAAAACGCCGCCTTGGGAAATCACGGTACTCACCGACGGCAAGCCACTTCCGTTGAATATGGACCCTAATCAGCGAGCACGGCGCCTTAACTACGCCAAGAGACATGCTAGGGCCACGAGTTCACTCCCCATGACTGAACGCGTCGTATACACTGACGCTGCACTTCCTGCAGACGGTACCAGTAACACTTGTTATGCCACTGCGTGGTACGACCAGACAAACAGAAATCAGAGCCGACGTTATCATGCTTCAGCAGATGCGATGTATAGCACTCGAGCAGAGCTAGTGGGCATCTTAGATTATTTGGAGTGGGCCCTCGAAATGTCACCTCAAACTGACCCTGTTCACCATCGTGTGTACACTGATTCCCAGGCTGCCCATCGGGCATGCGCTAATGTTCTTTACACAGATCCTGTACTCCAGAAGATCCGACACCAGACGCGCCTGCTCCGCGAATGTGGTCATGACGTTACCATCCACTGGGTCCCCGGGCATTGCGGTATCCCCGGAAACGAGAAGGCTCACAGATTAGCGCGCGCTCATCTCCTCACCGCGCTAGCCAGAGCTTCCGACACTCCTTCCACTTTTCTGGCTACCCCACCCGAGCTAGCAGATCCGATAGCAGATAAGCACATTACCAAACAACGTCGCGCCGCCTACCTCACAGCAGTGGGTAATCCACTCTCGATACCATTGCTTCCTTCGAAGGTATTCACACGGAGAGAGTCTGTCCTGCTTCGGAGAATTCAGGCAGGAACACTCCTTACCCCTTTCTTGCTGAACCGTTTCCACAGGGGTGACACGCCACCACCCGTGACAGGTCTCTGCTCCACGTGCAACTGCCGGGCTGATCTCAACCACTTGTGCTGGGAGTGCCCTGTGTACAACCCGCCTAGGCTCCGTGCCCTGGCCACCATAAAACGGGGACCCTGGCCTTCTTCTCTCCGGACATGGGCCTGCCCGGAGCCTTCGCCCCCTGGTCGCGCCATCGAGTTCTGGCGAGCACTCATCATGTTCCTCCAGGACCCGGCCGCGCCACCGGTTGGCGACCGGCTCCGCGACAGCCACAAGATTCAAGCCATTCAAGCGGCCCCCACTTAGCTGCCTCCATGACGTCCGGTAATAAAACGGAGGCAGCTCTACCCCCCCCCCCCTGCTATAGTGCCCTGACTGTCCACCGCAGCGCCTTCGGCGCGAACAAAGTGGAATAAACATGGTTTCATTCATTCATTCATGCGTCTGAGCTCGTCGAAAGAGAAAGTAGAAAAAGAGATGAAAGGCCTTGTGTTTGACATAATCATCATCATTTTGTGGCAAGATCCTGCTATAAGCAATGGTAAGTGCTACACTGGCGTAGCTTATTTATTGTGCATGCTTTAGCTCTATGCAAGCAACTTATATTTTCCCTAATTACCTTGTTAACTGATAACCATAAAAAATTCCGTGAACCATAACTTCGGTACATCTTTCGAATTCTTAATATATTAGCCTTAACATACAAATATTACAGTACTTAAAGTCAAAGAATGACCCTTTGCGTATTCACTCACTCTGAAACCTAGCTGAAGTTGCACATGTATCTTGATAGCAAAAAAACTGGATTATGGCTGTTTCGACTCTTTTTTGTTTATGGGCAACTGGCGCACACACGTTGCTGACAGAGTTTGAACCTGATTAATGGGAGTTACGTTAGTCACATGGACATGCATGGACAGTAAAATTGTTATGGCTGAACTAGTCGAATCTGATCGGTCGAGCCACAGCTCAGTCGGCTTTCTCACAAACGCCACGCGATGCCGTTGTCGTTCTCGGGGCAAACGCGCAAAGAACGTGGATGCAGCCAGAGTTTGTTGATGTCCCGGACTGAAAGAACGACCCTGACCCATTCGGAACACGTCGCATTCGGAACACGTCGCTCATTGGTCAGAACTGCGACGAGAGAAGAAACACGTGATCAGTGTCACTGCCAGTTTATCAGTGGGAGCCTGGCGCCATCTAGCGGGCGCTGTGCAGATGCATATATGAAACTATCTAGATTAATTTAATTTTTCTGCTTTTACAGCTTAGCTATGGGCACCCTTCCAAGTGTGCAGAAGGAAATATAACATCCACTTTGGGCTAACATTTTTTTTGTGGTGAACTGAGAGTTTCTATTAAAACACTATGATTCATACAGCTTTGGTCATGCAGTGTTATTTATTTCACACGTCTTCCCTTGTTTTTCATACAACGTGGACACTCGTTCTATTTGCACTTCGGCATTGTTGCACGCTTATTTGCAGTTAAAACAAACTGCATTCGTGTTAGACTGGGCATTTACGTTAATGTGAAGTAGAAATAAGGGAACTTAGTGAGACATTTATTCAAGTATACATGGTCGAAATAGATTCTGGCTGCAAATAACAACGTTGTGAAGTATGAAACACCATCCCAATTCCCACTAAGTATTTCTGTTGGCCACTATGCTTATAAACTCCCGTTGTTTGCCAACTTATTCTACCTCTTTTTTATATCATGTATGCTTACTTGCTGCTTACTGAAGCAAGTGTGATTTCAGGTAACATTTTGATGCAAAGAATAAGAGCCGACTTACAAGGTGGTGGAGGGCCAGGTATTGTTCATCTGTTATTTTATTAGTATTCCTTTTGTTGTAACGTCCTTTTGGTATTCAAGCACTTTCTCAAATATATGGCTTCCATTACATACTTGCTAATTGTTTTGTGGATTTATTTTGTAACTGTCATCATTTTGCATAGCGAATCAAGATTACGCAGTCCGCGTTACTTTCTTCTACGCTGTCGGCAAAAGTGTGTAAATTACAATTGTTTAGCATACTTACCATTCTCTGCATCCGGCTTAACATGCTGTGATCTAAGAAAAGATCAGAACGTACGAAAAGAAAATGAATTATATAAGCGATATAGCCGAAAAGTGAAAATACTTAACACAACAAGGAAATCATAACCATTAGTGGTTAATCAGTATAGATAAATTCACAAATTTCACTTATGCAAAAGGAAACCAAGCATGTTTGCGAAAAAATTCAGAAACGAAATACAGTATGTTATGATGCGTGGTAATGTATAATTCTGCGACAAAAGAAGCATCCGCGATACACAGGGCTCATGTCCTCCTTTAGCAAGTACTTGTGGAACTCTTGAAGTAACTTGCAAGTGGCGCATGTTTCAACGAATCTTTTTTGTTACATATTTTAGGTGAAAGGTTTCTCGATTCCTTTAGACGAAGAATTAATACCGGCGTTGGTCTCTCTGATCCTGGTTTTGCGAGCAGGCGACTTCCAGGTTTGTCTCAATTATGTATTAGTAACAGCTGAACAGTATTGCTTTCTATTGTCAAACAAAAATATTTATTGTGTAGAACACACTTTTTGGAAGGTGCATGATGCACAAAACAGCTTTTCAGCGCTGTTAATATCAGACTACTGTATGACAACAAGCATATAACTCAGGATGTCTGCATCATATTCGTGCAAATATTTTACATATGTACTGTATATTGTAAATAACGTAGTTTGCAAAGGGAATCAGCTTGAATTCTATTAACAGTGTCAGACTGGGCTCGAGCCAAATAAGTATGTTTATTGCCACTGCAATAACAATTATTACGGATGATCAAAAGATAGCAACACCTTGTCGCCCACCGTATGTTTATGCGCGAGTGAAAGCAGGCCTAACCGTATTTTGTTGACGGTGTAAACTGTTCCATTCGCATTCATTACTACATTCTTGCTCTGAAACTGACTTTTTGTGAGTAATCACTCCAATGATGCCAGCAGCCGGACCCCGGTATTTTTGTAGGATTCTTTCCGTTTGAAGAAGGAGGCCTAGAAGACTCCGTCCTGGGCCCAGCAAATCAACCATTTCGAGGTTAGTAATAATCGTTTGCACACGTCACTATAGGTAATCGTGATACAAACATAGGTCGGTGAATTAACCCATGAGTGTACTCACTCAGACTATGATCAAGTCGTGCATCTCACTTTGAGTGAGTACGGGTGAGCAATAGTTTGGTGAGTGTGAGTCCAACTTAGGCCAGTTGAAGAATATTTTCGAGGGTGTGAGTCCGAGTGAGTTCAGCCCCAGGAAAACTTTTGTGATGCCCCGCCGCGGTGGTCCAGTGGCTAAGTTACTCGGCTGCTGACCCACAGGTCGCGGGATTGAATCACGGCTGCATTTCCGATGGAGGCGGAATGTTGCAGGCCCGTGCGCTCAGATTTGGGTGCACGTTAAAGAACCTCAGGTGGTCGAAATTTCCCGAGCTCTCCACTAAGGCGTCCCTCATATACATATAGTGGTTTTGGGACGTTAAACCCTATATATCAATCAATCAATTTTGGTGAGTCTGAGTCCGACTGAGTCCAAAGCACCAAATAAATTTCTTGAGTGAGAGTGGGTGAGTTTCGCTTTCGTTTTCCGAATTACGGTCCTATCTACGCATCTTGAGCTTTACTACCAGTCTCACCTGGCTTAACATTTATACTGACGTCTATTCACGCGTACTTCAAAGCCGATGTGTTCATACATAATTTAAATATTCACAAATCGGACACATAGGGGGTTGCCTTAAAACCCCCGCCATCTATTTTTTCTAGGGAAGTTCTTAATAAGCATACCTTATGTAGTAACTTCTGCCAAGAAAAATGATCTAAGTGGTTTATGAACACTCATAACTCGTATTCGAAGGTACTATATCAAAGGTCGCCAAGAAGGGCATCAATTACGTGAGTCTTTAGTGTTGGCAACTTGGTCAATAATGCTTTCTTTAGGCTAACGAACTCTTGAGTCCGTTCACTCGAACTCGAATCCAATTGTGAGTGTGATTCTGAGTGAGTCCGGTTGAGTATTTTGGCCAGTTTGTGTCCGAGTGAGTTTGGTTGAAGAAAATTTTTGTGAGTGTGTGCAAGTGAGCTTCGCCCACAAAAAGTATTGTCAGTTGGAGTCCAAGGTAGTTCAAAACGTCAAATGTTGTTCGGGAGTGAGTCTCAATGAGCTCCACACATAGCGCCGACCTATGGACACAAATAAGTGACACATTCTGCGAAGAGTGGTTGACTGAGGTTGTACTAATGATCAATCTGGCAAGATAAGTAGCAACTGTAAAATTAAAATATCCAGAGTGTTTTCTTAGTTTTGGTGCTTTGCAACTGTTAAAAAAACTGGTAAAATTGTTTCATAATCTTGCCATGTATTCAGATATTCTGATGCAAGATTGATTGATTTGTGGGGTTCAACGTCCCAAAACCAGTGATGCAAGATCGAAATGTTAGGTGTTGGGTGCTACTTAGCTTTTCATTTTGTTTATAGAAGCTGATTTACACACATAAAAGAAGCTACAGAAACACCCATAACAATAAAGCAATATATTTTCTTTTATGTATTAACTGCAGCACCTCCTGTTAGAGTTGCCACATCCCGACCCATGATCAATTTTGTTGGTGATGGTGGACAGAGGCTTCCTTACGGGAACTCAAGACGCCATCCTTTTATGAGACCACCCGCTGGTTCAAGATTTGTGGGAGAGAGTGGTGGAAGAAGTGAGGAAAGTCTATTTGGACTTGCCGCAAAAAGAAAAGGTGTGTACACATCGCACTCAAAACGCCTTTGGTGTGTGATAGCTTACGCTTTCTGGTGCAGCTCAAGTTGGTGGGGGTATAAATGTGAACGAACTTTTAAAATGTAAAATACGCAACGTCAATTTTACCGTACACCCTAAACACCGCACGTTTGGTCTCTTGAAAAGAAAACGATCTATTTTACCATACACCCTAAACAACGCACGTTCGGTCTCAAGAAAATGTTATTTAGATCATTGTTCGTCGCGATGTCTGAAACCTGTTGTGAAGCAGATGAATACGCATAGATAAGCTGTGGCACATATCTAGTGTTGTTAAGGGTAAAAATAAAGTGCTGATGCATCAAAGCACCGTTTCTGGTCTGAGAAACATAAACTTCTAGGCATTGCGAAATGAGTTCACTAAGTTATTCTTTATTGCTTGCTCTATACTATTCTCTGTAGGTTTTGCAATGCTGGTATTTTAAGCCACCACGACTGATTAGCGAAATTGTGCTTGTGACCCCACCCTCTGAGTGATACGCATAGAGGCATCGGTGACGGGTTCGTGAAGATACATGGGTTAGTGGTCGTTATAATAATTGACAATCGGACAAATTAAAATTGGCCTCCTTTCTGAATTTCCGACTGCCTAAAGGAGTTATAAGACAGAAAAATATGGAGTTGTGTTGTGGTTATTCGTTCATAATTGCGTCCTCGCTTTCACACTGCCCATTTCAAATCATTTATGACCCCAGAGCGCGCATGCAAATGGCTAGTTGCTGCAAAGTGTATGTAAGAGAACTGCATGTTTTTACTAGATATAAGCACAAAGTTTTAATGTGGTCCGAAAGCTATAGCTTGCGTCCTGCAAATTACACCAGCATATATTTTCACGAGCATCATCAGAACATCTTTTTGTTAAAGAAAAAAAAAACATAAATGAATTAGTGAATTTTTCACTAAATCTTAAACGTCTGTGGCATCGTAGTGAGCTAGGTAGCCTGTTTTTTAAAGTTGGAAACAAATTAAGAGTTTTTTGACTATCCTAATCAACTATACGTGGCGACTGTCTTAATGCAGCACTCTGGTGATGAAAATAAGGTCCCAAGTTGGACTAGTGTTATTAGAGACCTAGTTTTCAGATCGTGTTGTCCAGCGTTGCTCGCAGCCTCTAAAACCAAACAGAATATCTTCTAGAAGGGCAGTTTGTCTTATTGCTTACTCGACCTATCAACCAGAGCCTGCTTTCAAACTTTCACGTTACCGCAATTTACAGAACTTCGAGAGCATGACTCCGCCGAACACCTAAGGAGTTCGACGCGAGTTTCTGAAGATGGGAACGCAGGTAAGCAGAATAGAACACAGAGAAAGAAGGAAACCAAAATAAGTCGGTTGATGGCCAACCGAACTCCTAAAATAATGAAAAGCATTTGTGTCCGTAATCATATTATAAGACACATTGGTCATCTCAATATCAATGTGATCACTAAGGCAAGAATTTTTTTGTTAAAATATGATGAATGCAAATGCCATACACTTGAGGCACTCACCGTAGGCAGGTTCCCTTGTGTTCCACGAGCTGATGATTAACAACAACAACAACAACAACAACAACAACAACAACAACAACAACAACAACAACAACAACAACAACAACAACAACAACAACAACAACAACAACAACAACAACAACAACAACAACAACAACAACAACAACAACAACAACAACAACAACACTAATATTATTTTTATTAAGCATGATAATATTACGGGCGACGCCATAGTGAAGGGCTCAAAAATTTTGACCATCTGGGGTTGTTTAACGTACGGTTACATTGCGCCGTAAACGTGTCTCTATGATTATTCCTCCATCTAAATGCGACCGCCAAGGCTGGCATCGAACCCTCGACCTTTCGGTCGGCAGCCGAGCACCGTGACTGATGTACGACCATGGCAAACGATTAACAGTACTGCGGTTTGAAATGCGTCAACAGTGCGAGACGCCTAAGTTGTCTCAGAATTAGTGAGAAAATCTAGTTCATTCGTCCGCGTTATTCATTTGGCGTGGCCGACCACAGAGTCTCAGAGAAAGACTGTAAGGGAGATTGGCGAGTCAGTTATTAATAGGTTATTGTTGATGAAATTGCTAATATCAGTGAATGCTATAACATTCACAAGTTCATATAACAAAAAAGTCGACAGATTTTCATACTACACCTATTCGGCTACTCGAAAGAATTCTTGAACTTCACAATGCCGCAGCAAGAATTAGATCACAGACTCTGTTGCAAGACGAATCAAACCTAAACTAAATCTGTGCAGGCTAAGTTGAAGTCACACTAATTCGACACTGACGTTGCTGTCCGCAAAAGAGGAGATTCACGTCCACTTTTTGCTTACAAACGCCATGGGCCGACCCGGCGAAGGAAAGAGCCGCTGTTGCAGTGAGGCAGCTAGTTTTGCAACTGCGACGAATTTGGGGCGCTGGTCTTGGCTCCCCACATGACCCACCTATGTAATTTTGTTCTACAGTTTGCTTTATATTCGCTTTCAGAGTGAAGGGAACGCCCGCTCAGTCAAAGCTAAGGATTATTTCATACATTCTGTTGCGCAAATAAACGGCACGTCATGATTTTGCTGCCGGCAGGCTGCTCTGTTACTTAATTCAAGAATCATGGTCAGAAAACGTAACTTCTAAATATTATTGTTATACCTTGTTCACA